GTGGCCGCTCCCAGCCACCGCAGCCTCGACCTGCTGGGCTCCGGCAATCCTTCCGCCTCAGCCTTCCAAGTAGCCAGAACTACAAGCGTGCGCTACCATGCCTGGCTAATTTTTTGATTTATTGTAGAGTGAAGTCTCGCCAAGTTGCACCAGGCGGGTCTCGAACCCGCGGGCTCAGGCAATTCACTCACCTCAGCCTCCCAAAGCATGGTATTACAGGCTGAGCCACCAAGCCCACCTTCCATCAACTCTTGTCTGTCTGTCTGTCTGTCTCTCTCTCTCTCTCTCTTTAATGCGTTGGAGTCTCTGTCTTTGAGGCTGGAATGCAATGCCATGATCACCTCGACCTTCTAGGCTCAAGTGAGACTTCTACCTCAGCCTCCCAAGTAGCCGAGACTACAGGCATGCACCAGCACACCCAGCTATTTCTGATTTATTGTAGAGATGAGGAATCATCATCTTTCCCAGGCTGCTCTTGAACTCCTGGGCTCAGGCAATCCTTTCACCTCAGCCTCCCAGAGTGTTGCGATTACAGGTATAAGCTACCACATCCAACCCTCATCTCTCGTCTCTCTTCAAGTTTGGCTCTGGGCAGGTGCGCACTAGACCTGGGTCTGATTACATCAGCAGTCACTCTCCACTTCCCCCATGCCTAGCCTCAGACAACCACTAGTCAATCTCCTTTCTGTCTCTGTGGATTTGCCTATCCGGGCATTTCACAGAAATGAAATCATACAGTAGATGGTCTGTGTCTTAGCGTCATGTTTCCAAGTTCATCCATGTTGTACCACGTATCAGCATCTCACTTGTTTTTATGATTAAATAATAATCCACTATATAGCTACACCGCATTTTGTCACCTAGGCATGAGATGAATATTTGGATTAGTTTCACTTTGCTCAACTTACACTGCCTGGAAAAGCTCTTTTTCTAGATCTATATAACATCATGTCACTTGCAAAATAAAGAGGGTTTGACCTCTTCCTTTTCCAATCTGGATGTGTATAATTTTACTTGCCTAATTGTCCAGGCTCAAACCACCCAATACAATGCTGAGTAGAAGCTGTACCAGCAGACAATATCCCTCAAGGGTAAATGGTCACACAAACTGCCGCTGGCAGATCACAGAACACTGTTTAACGGGAAGGAGCTGGCATCAGTACACATTGAAGTTCACGTTCTGAATGATCCCATCTATAACATTCTCAAAATGCCAACATTACAGATGGAGGACAGATAGATGGCGGGCGTAGGGTCAGTGGGATTGTAATGGCCTGGCGCGGCTCTTTGAGCGGATGGATAGCCCTGTGGTTTGTTACTGGTTTAGTTACAGAAATCTACATGTGCGACAAAATTGCACAGAGCTGTGCACCCTGTACCTGTGACGATGTCCTGGTTTTCATGTGGCACTATGGTTAAGAGGTAACCAAGGGGGGAACCTGAGTGAGGGATACATGGGATTCCTCTCTATATTTTTTATTCAACTTCCTGTGAGTACATTGATATTTCAGAATTAAAAGTTCATTTATTTTCTCTGCATTATCTATTTGGAATCAAAATAAAAAGTGTTGGCCAGGCACAGTGGCTCACGTCTGTAATCCCAGCACTTTGGGAGGTCGAGGTGAGAGAATTGCCTGAGTCCGGGGAATTTGAGACCAGCCTGGACAACATGGCAAGTCTCTACAAAAAAATTTTTTTTTAATTAGCCGGGCATGGTGGCACACACCTGTGGTCCCAACAACTCAGAAGCTGAGGCAGAAGGATCACTGGAGCCCAGGTGGTCAAGGCTGTGGTAGCCATGAATGTGCCATTTCACTCCAGACTGACAGAGTGGCAGAGTGAGACACCAACTCAAAAAATACAAATAAAATAAACTACATGTCTTTAAAATGCTGTGCTGGGAGTGTTGGGTACACTAAAATCCAGACCTCTTTGCCACTAACAATGCAATCATGTAACCAAAAACTACTTGTAATCCCTAAAGCTACTGAAAATTTTTTAAAAAGTTAGTCGGGCACAGTGGCTCATGCCTGTAATCCTAGTATTTTGGGAGGCAGAGGGGAGAGGATTGCCTGAGTCCATGGGTTCGAGACCAGCCAGAGCAACTTGGCGAGACCTCATCTCTACAATAAATCAAAAAATATTAGCCGGGCGTGGTGGCATGCACCTATAATTCCAGCTCTTTGGAAGGCTGAGATGGAAGGATCACCTGAGGCTGCGGTGGCCGTGAGCGTGCCACTGCACTCCAGCCTGGGCAACAGAGTGAGACTCTGACTCAAAAAAAAAAAAAAATTTTTTTTTTAAATGCAGTGCCAGGGAACAAAGCACACAAAAGCAGCAGGGTTGCTATTTTGTTGTGGTGATCCAGAAGGGATGCTCCGAGATGGCCACATGAGCAAGAGGGAGAAAGTCACGCAAAGATTTGGGGAAAAGGCCTCCTGGTAGGGATCATGTCAAGGCCAGGCGGCAGGAGCATATCTGGGGTTTGGAGAAAAAGCCTAGCACCCCCGCAGGTGGAATGCAACTAGTGGGAGGGAGAGTGAGCACCTGCTTCTTTCTCACTCTACATATTCATGTTTGTACCTAAATTTGTCTCAAATTCCTGGCCTCCAGTGATCCTCCCGTCTTGACCTTCCAGAGCACTAGGATTACAGGTGCGAGCCAGTAGCCACTGTACCCAAACTCTAAATTTGTATTCTTTCCTTAAAGAGCCCCCAAACTCTAAGATTCTGGCTCCAGCCAACCTGGGTCCATCCCTGAGTGGGAACCAGGACAGAGAGGAGGTAAGAGGCTGGCCCACGGGCGCCACTGGAAACACTCTGGGGGCACACGATCCCTGCAGGGTTCCCAGCAGAGGGACAACTTGAGGGTTCCATTTACAGGAACCCTTTGGCTGCTAAGGGGAGTGTGGACTGGGAGCCAGGGTAGAAATGGGGCAACCAGGGGAAGCTATTCCCACCATCCAGGCAAACATAACACCAGGTACAACCAGGCTGGTAGAAGTGGAGATTGATAAACAATGACTGGGTCTGCTGGGTGTGGTGATTCACACCTGTAATCCCAGCAATTTGGGAGGTAGAGGTAGGAGGATCGCTTGAACCCGGGAGTTTGAGACCAGCCTGGGACACACGGCAAAACCCCGTCTTTACAAAAAAAAAATGTTACACTTTGGGAGGCTGAGATGAGGGGACTGCCTGAGCCCACGCATTGGAGAACAGCCTGGGCCCCTAGCAAGACCTCATCTCTACAATAAATCAGAAAACTAGCTGGGTGTGGTAGTGTGCACCTGTAGCTCTGGCTGCTTGGAAGGCTGAGGCAGAAGGATCACCTGAACCCAGCAGGTCAACACTGGGGTGGCCGTGAGCGTGCCACTGCATTCTGGCCTGGGCGACAGAGTGAGATTCCAACTCAAAAAAAAATTTTTTTTTAAAGCCTGGTGTGGTGGCGTGTGCCTATAGTCCCAGCTACTACAGAGGCTGAGGTGGAAGGATTGCTTGAGCCCAAGCTACACACCAGTTTGAGTGACCAAGAAAAATCCTGTCTCAAAAAAAAAAAAATAGCTGGGGAGGGAGATCAGGCAGGATTTGTTGGCTATCTGGAGATGGGCCTTGGAGAGATCACAAGATCTTTCCAAGGGTCTGGCTTGAGTAACAGGGAATCAGGCTGGAGCATCTTTCCTAGCAGGGAAGGCTGGAGGAGGAGCAGGTGGCCGGGCAGGGTAGGGGCAGTGCTGGAGCTCCAGAGGAGGAAGGAATTTTGCCGAAAGCATCAAGCCCTCCTGTGACTGGGGGTCCCAGAGGAGCCATCCTTGTTCTGGAAGAGACTTCACCTCTGAGCCCTTGTTAGGAGGGGCTGGAACCGCCTGCCTCTTCAGAGCAGAAGACACCTTAGAGGCACACAGTGGAGCTGAAGGTGGCGGCCACTCCAGGAACTTACGCCAGAGGCCCTGAATGGAAGCTGCCTGTGTGTGTATGCAGGTGTCTGTGGTGGTTGTCTGTGTGTGTTTGAATCTGTGTCTGTATACGTATGTTTGCGTGTCTGTGTGCCTGCATGTATCTCTGTGCATCTGTGTCTGTGTGTATCTGTATGTGTGTGTCCATGTGCATGTCTGCGTGTCTCTGTGTGTCTCTGGGGAGGGGCTGACCTGTCTTGAATTTGAGGTGGGGATGGAAGAGGGGGTCTAGACTTCAGGAGTTTTTCAATAGGATGGGCAAAAGAGCTCTACCACCAACACTGAACCCGGCTGTAGTCCAGGATGGCCCAGAGGGAGACTGAGACTGCTGGCCACATTCTTCCTTCTCCAGCGCTAAACTTGGCTCTAGTCCAGGATGGTCAGGAGGGGGACTGAGGCTGCCTGGCCATGCTTTCCATCACCGGTTCCGGATCTCCTGGTGGTTCTTGGGCACCGCCACGTACCTCAGCTTCTTCATGACAGCAGGCCAGCCCAGCAGCTGCTTGTCCCACATATACTCTGGGGACAGGACCTTGGTGGGTTTGTGGTACAGCAGGTATTTATTCAGGTGGCTTTCATCATGCCACACAGCCTCGATGCCATTGGCCTGGTCCACCATCATGGCCTGGTGGCAGGCCTTGCTGAGCCGGGTCACCTCCTGCACTGACCCCCCAAAGAAGGCCCCCATGTAGTAGAAGTCCCCCTCGTCCCGGGAGATGTAGGCCTGGGACCGCGGCCTGCGCTCATAGGTGAAGGCCTCGCGGCTGCTCCCGTAGAAGCCAGGGTGCAGGGTGCCGAAGAGTGGAGACAGGATCTCCACGCCGACGTGGTCATCGAACTGCATGTCCACATCCGCGCACACCAGGTAGTCCACCTCATGGCGGAAGCGCCGCTCAGAGAAGTCGCTGATGGCCTGCATGCGGCGCATGGACACGTCCTGCCAGCGTGCGTAGGTGCCCACAGTGAGCACCACCAGGCGCCGCCCTGCCCCGAGGGCCACACGCGGCACATCCGCTGGCCGGTCGGTGAACACGTAGTAGGTGACCCGGTGCCCCACCATGAAGTGCTTTTCCGCCGTCTCCAGGAACAGCTTCAGGAAGACCACGTACCTGCAAGGGAGGCGACCGCGGGCATGGGGCGAAGGCGCGACTGGAGCAACGGGTAAGGCGCACCCTGGCACGCTAGGGGCCATCAGCTCTGGACGTGGCCCCAGTGACATCTGCCAACAGCCTGTGGAAGGCCAAAGCGACAAACGCACAACTTCCCCCGGCCCTGTCCTGAGCGCAGACACTTTATCCTCTTTTCCCAGAGGAGGGCCCGCCCACACCCCCACCCTGGGAATGGACAGCTGAGGCTTGTGAGTCTTCCAGTCTACAGTCAGCAACTCTCACACCCCCTTGGCCTGATCTTCCAGGTAAACCCTCCCTGCCTGGCCTGAGCGAAGCATCCCCATAACTCCCTTTCCATGCCAGGGCAGAGCAGGTTGGAACCAGTCAGAGCCTGACCACCTGTTCCCCTCCCCCTCCTACCCCCCACTGTAAGGGCTTTTGGGGAGCCCACATGCCCCTCTCTGCACCCTAGAGCTCCCTCCCTTGGAGATATGAGGGTGTTTTGTTGGTAAGAGCCTCAGTAAACTGCTTATATTCCTTTTTTTTTTTTTGTAGAGACCAGGCAGGAGTGCAGTGGCACCATAATGGCTCACTGCAGCCTTGAAAGCCTAGACTCAGGTGATCCTTCAGCCTCAGCCTCCCAAGTAGTTGGGACTAGAGGCATGCACCACCATACTTGATTTTATGTAGAGACAAGGTCTCACTATGTTGCCCAGTCTGGTTGCAAATTCCTGGCCTCAAGCAATCCTTCTGCCTCAGTCTCTCAAAGTGCTGAGATTACAGGCGTGAGCCACCTTGTCCAGTATACTACTCATATATCTAAGAGGGAGTCATTCCTGAACTCTTCCAGGGGATGGGGGATCAGGCCTAGCACTGTGGGCAGGGGAAGAGGACCCCAGAAAAGATGAACAAATAAAGACTTTGGCCACAAATCTCGAATCCAAGAATCAAAGCTTCTGGGCCCAGGTTGGGTGTCTACCTCTACCCCAGAAGTTTCTTCCAACTGCCTCAGAGGGCTGGTCCCTCCCTGATGTCCCCCAGGGGGGTGTGCTCCCCACCATGGGGACAAGGGCTCCTCTACCATCAGGCAAGTGTGCCATGCCGCTCTGAGATCCCTCGTTTCTGGAACAGGCATGGTGGCTGCTTGGCCCCCATTTAGCTCACTGGTAAATCACCCACAAGAGTCTCACAGGCACTATGGATAATCAGGGGACACACACGCACCCCAGGAGATGAGAAAGCCCAATACCAGGAGCCTGGGTGTGCGAATCAGGCCTTGGGGTTACAAGCCCAGGCCGGGCCACTGCCGGGGGTGACTGCGGGCTGGTGGCTCAGCTTTGTAAGGCTGCTGTTCTCCGAGGGTGCTGGGGATACAGGGACCACCTCTGGGGCCAGAAGGAGACAGACGGACAGTGCCCAATGGCGAGGGAGACAGAGCCCAATGGCAAGGTGGTGTCCTGACAGAGCCCCCAGGGGCAACTCCCCAGCTCTCCACCCCTGGGAACTAGAGCAAGGACTCTTGGGCTGTCCCCTGCACCCTTCTTAGTCCCTGCACATCTGGCTGCACACCCCTCCTCCACTCCCACGTCGGAATTCGTGAAGGGGCCTTGGGAGGGTCACCCTGCAGCCTGAGTGTGGAAGGACATGCCTCTTTCTACTGGCACCAGCCCAGTTTCCCTATAGAACTGATATTTATGAATAAACATAGAAATTGACCCTAGTCTTTTTTTTTTTAAATCAGATCTCACTCTGTCCCCAGGCTGGAGTACAGTGGCACAATCACAGCTCACCTCAGCCTCGACCTCCTGGGCTCAGATGATCCTTTCACCTCAGCCCCCTGAGTAGCTGGGACTACAGGCATGCACCACCATGCCTGGCTATTTTTTTTGTTTTTTTTTGTTTTTGGTAGAGACAAGATCTCACTGTGTTGCCCAGGCTGGTCTTAAATTCCTGGGTTCAAGTTATCCTCCCACCTGGACCTCCAAAAGTGCTGGGATTACAGGCATGAACCACCGCACCTGGCCAACCCTCCCAGTCTTATTTCAGTTCCTTCCCTTGGCAAGGACCCGCAACTCACAAGAACATTGCATCTAAACAATGAGACCCCAGACCCTTCACTAAGCGTGACTACTTCCTTATCCCTCCCTAACTGCTATTTTACATACCCTTCCCCACTATATAAACCCCCAATTTCAGTCAGTTGGGGAGAGGGAATTAAGACCGACCTGATCTCCTTGGCTGGTATCACCCAATTAAAAAGGCTTTGTCAGTCGGGTGCAGTGGCTCATGCCTATAATCTCAAGCACTTTGGGAGGTCGAGATGAGAGAATTGCCTGAGCCCAGGGGTTTGAGACCAGCCTGGGAAACTTGGTGAGACCTCATCTCTACAATAAATTGAAAAAAATTAGCCAGGCGTGGTGGCACGTGCCTGTAGTTCTAGCTACTTGGAAGGCTGAGGCGGAAGGATTACCTGAACCCAGTAGGTCGAGACTGCGGTGGCCATGAGCATGCCACTGCACTCTCCAGCCTGGGTGACAAAGTGAGACTCCAACTCAAAAAAAAAAAGCTTTCATCAGCCAGGCACAGGCACGGTGGCTCACACCTGTAATCCCAGCACTTTGGGAGGCTGAGGCAGGAGGATCCAGTCCAGGAAGAGGCTGAGTCCAGGAGTTCAAGACCAGCCTAGGCAACATAGTGAGACTTCCCCTCTATTATTAATAAATAAAATCAAATAAGAAAAAAATTAAGAGTCTTTTTCTCTGGCAATACTCATTATCTCAGTGATTGGCTTTCTTTTCTTTTCTTTTTTTTTGAGTTGGAGTCTCACTCTGTCACCCAGACTGGAGTGCAGTGGCACGCTCCCAGCCACCACAGCCTCAACCTGCTGGGCTCCAGCGATCCTTCCACCTCAGTCTTCTAAGTAGCCGGAACTACAGGCGCACGCTAACATGCCCGGCTAATTTTTGACTTATTGTAGAGATGAGGTCTCGCCAAGTTGCCCGGGTGGGTCTTGAACCTGTGAGCTCAGGCAATCCACTCACCTCAGCTTCCCAATGTGCTGGGATTACAGGTTGAGCAACCAAGCCCAGCCAGTGATTGGCTTTCTATGCAACCAGCGATAGGACCTTGATGAACCCCTGGCATTTGGTATCACTACATGCGGGCCCCACAGCGGTCCTGGGGCAGCCACTGTTGCTGGCCCTCCACAGAATCCAGGAGGTCAAGCTACGTGTCTAGGGTCATCTCGCTAGTCCCCTGTGAAGCCACCCTGATCTAGAGTCCCAGGGCCTTACTTGTCAGCTACCTCTGCAGGTGCCTGAGGCCAAGTGCTCTGCCTGCCCCTCCCATACCTGAGCACAGAGGGGTGTCCATAGCTCTGCTGGCACACTGTTTCCACGGGTCCAAGGAGAGCAACAGGTGCCCCTCCTGCCACCTCTGGTCACTGAGAGGGACCTGCCTGGAGCCTGGCATTGAGGGGGGATAGCTGCCCCGGACTCAGCAGGAGGGCCAGCCACAGGTACAGAGGGGTGGGGCAGCAGGCCAGATCTGCCATCCCTGGATGAGATGCAGCCTCCAGAGAAGGGACTGGGTTTTATGCACACAGTGAGCCTACAAGAGCCCAGTAAGACTGCTGAGCAAATAAATACCTTTAATATCTATCCTCTGGGCCGGGTATGGTGGCTCACACCTGTAATCCCAGAATTTTGGGAGGCCGAGGCAGAAAGAGTACTTGAGCCCAGCCTGGGCAACATAGTGAGAACTTGTCTCTATAAAAAAAATTTTTTTGTTTTTGAGTTGGAGTCTCACTGTCACCCAGACTGGAGTGCAGCGTCACGCTCCCGGTCACTCCAACCTCAACCTGCTGGGCTCCGGCGATCCTTCCGCCTCAGCCTTCCAAGTAGCTGGAACTACAGGTGCGTGCTACCACGCCCAGCTAATTTTTTGATTAATTGTAGAGATGAGGTCTCGCTGCTCAGGCGGGTCTCGAACCCGTGGGCTCAGGCAATCCACTCACCTCAGCCTCCCAAAGCGCGGGATTACAGGCTGAGCCACCGAACCCAGCAAAAAAAATTTTTTTTTAATTAGCCAGTCAAGGTGGCATGTGTCTGTAGTCCCAGTTACTCGGAAGGCTGAGGTGGAAGGATCACCTGAACCCAGGAGGTTGAGGCTGTGGTTAGCCATGATCGTGCCACTGTACTCTTGCCTGGGCAACAGATTCAGACTCAAAAAAAAAAAAGGCTGAACATAGTGGCTCAGACCTGTAATCCCAGAACTTTGGGAGGCTGAGGTGAGAGGATTGCCTGAGCCTGCAGGTTTGCAACTAGCCTGGGCAACATGATGAGAGCTCGTCTCTACAACAAATAAAAAAATTAACCAGGAGTGATAGCATGCACCTGTAGTTCCAGCTAATCGGAAGGCTGAGGTAGAAGGATCACCTGAGCCCAGCAAGTTGTGGCTGTGGTGGCTGTGAGTGTGCCACTGCACTCCAACCTGGGTGACAGTGAGACTCTGATTCAAAAACAAACACACACACACACACACACACACACACACACACACACACACACACACCCCTACCCTCTGGGAGAATAAGGATCTGTCTTAAATACAAGAACAGACCTGAATGTTCCTGGTCACTCACCACCTCCCAGGTCTCTGCAGTCGGTCACCTCGCTTACTTACTTTTTGATGGCAAACACAGTTAATCCGATGGTGGCATTCTGGAGCCGGAACTGCTCATTGAGGATGCCAATGTTGAAGGTCCCCTCCCAGATGATGGGAGCCAGCCAAGGGGTCACGACCAGGACATCTTTCCTACTGTACAGGGAGAGAGCGACCCGTAAGCTGGCAGGGGTGCCACGCAAGCTTGCCAGTGGCGCTCAGCCACTCCCATCCCGGGACCTCCACCTCTGACAACCCTTCCAGAGGGACCTGGCATTTGCCAGGAAGCCAACTACAGGCCAACCAGACTCCAACAGGGCAAATCATTCCTATCACTTCTTGAATGACAGATTCCGCTGGACCACGAAGGGAGCAGAGATTGGCCAGCAAATGGGTAGGAAAGGGATAGCAAACAAGAAACGCGGGTTAGAGAAAGAGAAAGGGAAAAAGAATACTACGTGGCCTCCAAATTTAGATGTCAGTAAAACCTAAAAGGAAAATACTTTGGGAGAGCAAGCTCAAGTTGAACTTGAAATCAAAGAACCCAGGCTGAGAGTGATGGCTTAAGTCTGTCATCCCAGCACTTTGGGAGGCCGAGACAGGAGGATTGCTTGAGCCCATCGTAAGACCTTGTTGCTACAAAAAAATGTTTAAATGAGCTGGGCACGGTAGTGCGTGCCTATAGTCCCAGCTACTTGGGAGTCGGAGGTGGGAGAACTGCCTGAGCTGAGTAGATCAAGGCTGCAGTGAGCCATGATGGTGCCACGTGCACTCCAACCTGAGTGACAGAGTGAGACTCCACCTCAAAATCAAATCAATCAATCAAAGCAACCAACCTTTTGCATCTTCAGACCAGCACCTCAAGTTGTGTTAAATTTCAGTAAATTTACTCACCAGGGTGTTAGCACCTTGGGCTGGGGGTAGACCATTCTGCAAACACAAAAAAAAAAATCACATGAGTTTGCATGATAAGTCTGTGGGATGCTGAGCAGGTAGGTGGGGCGTGCACAGTGGCTGAACTGTAACTGGGCTTGGACCTCCAACAGGGCCAGCAGTCCCAGGCTGGGTCATCCATGATCCCGAGGCATGGGAAGGGCCCAAACTCAATCTGTGGTTCAGCATTTGTAAAATGGGGAGCTGATCTAAGTGACCTTAGGGCCCTTTGCCCTCCACTTGACTTAAGTGAAAGGGACCTTGGAGACTCCGCGAGGGACCTAAGGGGTCATATTTTAATTTGCCGTGGGCAAAGGAGCCTGGGCGTGGTGTCTGTCCCTGGTCATTTCCAGAGGAAGGTCATCAGATACGCAGACTGTCCCACATGGGCCTGAAGCCTCTTCTGCTCCTTGCTGGCTTCCTGTCTGCCTTTCTTGGTGTCCCCAGGGCCTGTGGGGATGCAAGCTGTGGTACTGTCTTCACCTAAAGTGTTGTAGAACCCCAGACAACATTAGCAAACAGGTCTTTTTTTTTTTTTTTTTTTTTTTTTTTTTTAAGGTCTCATTCTGTTGCCCAGACTGGAGTGCAGTAGCACAATCACGTCTCACCACAGCTCGACTTCCCGGATTTGAGCGATCCTTCCACCCCAACCTACTGAGTAGCTGTGACTACAGGTGTGCACCACCACACCCGTTTGTAGAGACAAGGTCCCACTATGTTGTCCAGTCTGGCGTCGAACTCCTGAACGATCCTTTTGCCTTGGCCTCTCCAAGTGCTGGGATGACAGCCCTGAGCCATGGTGCCCATGGCTATCATTTTTAATTACCAATAATGACTACAATTTGAGTGCCCTATGACGACATTTAATAAGGCAAGGAAATCGGGTGTAATAGTTCATGCCTGTCATCGCAGCACTTTGGAAGGCGGAAGCAAGAGGGTTGCCTGAGCTCAGAGGTTCGAGATCAGCCTGGGCAACTTGGTGAGATCTCGTCTCTAGAATAGATCAAATAATTAGCCCGGCATGGTGGTGCATACCTATAGTCCCAGCTACTTGGAAGTCTGAGGTTGTGATCGTGCCACTACACTCCAACCTGGGTGATAGAGTGAGACTCTGACTCAAAAAATAAAAATTTTTAAAAAAGCAAGGAGCCAGCCTTCAAAAGGAAAGAAGTTCTAACACACGCTACAACATAGGTGAACCATGAGGACGTTATACTCAGCAAATTAAGCTAGACAGGAAAGGACATGTACTATATAATTCTACTTACACGTGGTAGCTAGACTAGTTAGACTCATAGCAACAGACCGGAGAATGGTGGGTGCCAAGGGCTGGGGGAAGGGGGATGAGGAGCTAGTGTTTAAGGGGGACAGAGTTTTAGTTTTGCAAAGTGAAAAGAGTACTGAGGTCTGGTGTAGTGGCTCATGTCTGTAATCTCAGCACTTTGGGAGATAGAGGTGAGAGGATTGCCTGAGACCAGGGTTTCGAGACCAGCCTGGGCAACATAGCAAGACCTCGTTTCTACAATAATCAAAAAGTTAGCCAGGTGTGGTGGCCCATGCCTGTAGTCCCAGCTAATTAAGAGGCTGAGGCGGGAGGATCACCTGAGCCCAGGAGGTCAAGGCTGCGGTGAGCCGTGATTGTTCCAGCCTAGGCAACAGAGTGAGACCCGGTTCAAGAATAAAAGATAAAAATAAGTAAATAAAAAGGAGAGTGACTAACTCGGCTGGGATTGCCTGATACTTTTTGGGTCTCAGCACTGATAAAGGCCAATATCCTAGGAAACATCCTGAGGCCCTGGGCAACCCGAATCAGCTGGTCATCCTCTCTAAAAGTCAATGACACGCAGCTGGTCTAAACTGAAGCAACAGCTCCCCCGTGGTCTCTTGGTGGCTGCAGGATGAAAGCAAAGCCAGGGCAGAGACTAGGGGAGGAGCAGCCATCCTCCATCAGAGGAAAGAAGCCCTGGCCCAACTCCCAGCCACCTCTATCCACATGCACACATACACCAGAGCTGGACGGCAACTCTGATGCAGAAGGCACCGAGTGAAGACCTTATACCTTGACAAGGTCACAACTTGCAGATGGTCCAGTTCTTTAACACTGCAGAATGAGAACACAGGAGAAGGGGTTTATTCCAGAAGCAGAACTGAAGGCACGAGTGCACAGAATCTGGCCGGGGGTCCCAGTGGAAGGGGCACAGTGGTAGTAGAGTCCGTCTGAAGCAGTCACAGAACAGCTGTCACTGGCAATGGGCCTGGGACTGGCCCATGTACCAGACACCGAAACATCAAACGTCAAACATCTCTGTGCAGTCACAGAGACCACGTTCACCAGGTGCTTCTGAGTTGAGACAAGGCAGGGAGGTTTCGTAACACAAGGAGGCCCAGACTCGCTGGGTGGGCAGGGGACACCCCTGAAGCAGCAACCCATGGCCCACAGCCAGCCTGCCAGGGCCAGCACTGACCATCCCCCTGCCCTTCTCCCTCACTCACCGGGCCCCCACTTCTGGGCTTCCTGGTGTCTGGCTTCTGGGGCTCAGAAGCCCAGAGCTGTGGAAAGAAAGTACACCCAAGGTCGCTGCTCTGAGGTAGCAGGTCCAAGGTCTTGGGAGGTAGCAATGGACACGGAACCGAGACTGTGTGTCCATTGCTACCTCCCAAGAGCCCACGCAGGGCCAGCAGAGTGAGCACAGGAGCTCCTGGTGAAATTGCAAGGCCTCCACAGGCGACCGGCCATGCCCCAGGCCAGGAGATCAGCGGGAGGGGTTCCCTGGAGACAGTGCTCATGTTTGGACACTTGCCACAGTCACAGAGGATCCTCGTGCCGGGGACCTTATCGTCCCCAAAGCCACCCAGGGAGTGTTTCCAGGCTGTGTCCACAGATGCCCCAGGAGAGCTGGCTGGTGACTTCACTCTGTGGTTCTCGAACCATCTGTGTCTGGGAGCGGCAGGCAGCTCTGGCCCCAGGTTTGCTTCCCACTTCCTGCCACACAGTGGGGGGGCGAGTGACTCGACCTCCCAGTCCCAGACGCCCCACTTGTGAAATGGCACACCCTCCAGCAGAGCTGAGCGTGTGGACAACTGTGGTCAGGACCCTGATTACTAGGGGGAGGGTATGGTAGGGGTGGGGGCGGCAGGCATGGCTCAGGGGCTGCTGGGCTGCTTCTCCCAAGCCTGGCCAGTGATGACGGTCAAATATTTCTTACCTAAAGAAGACCAGGATGAGCATGGTTAGAAGGATTATGGCAAGGAGAGAGTAGCATTTGGGTTTTCCTGGAAAACAGCAGTGGAAAATAAGATTACTCACCCTCCTCCTCTTATCTACCCTCACTTTACCTGTCTTGTCTTGTGATTCAGACACCAGACCCCACAACGGGTCTCGATCCTCCAAGATGGCTCCTCTCCCCCACAGATGAGGCTATGAGGCTGGCCCAAACTTCTTCAAACCCAATCCAGGTCTGGCCCCTCCTCCCACTCAGGGAAGACAGAGGCAGTCTGCTTCTCCCAACTCAACACCCCAGTGGCTCCCTCAGACTCTCAGCGTCACCCTGGCCTCCCAATGACCTCTGAGCTCAAAATGAACCATACTGAAATGAACACCGCAAGGTCACTGTGGATTCCATCAAAGTCACTGTTGATCCCATCAAGTCTTACGGCCAGACTGAACCATGAGGTGGTAGAACACCTTCTACCACGAGAAAGCAGCCCTCCAACCTTCCCCAACTGTCTCACTGCGCCTTTGGATGTACATGCACATAGAAACAATAATCGGTCTTTCTTGCTTTGTTTTGTTCTGTTTTTGAGTCGGGGTCGCACTCTGTCACCCAGGCTAGAATGCAGTGGCACAATCATGGCTCACTGCAGCCTCAAACTCCTGGCCTCAAGGTATCCTCCCGCCTCAGCCTCCCAAGTAGCTGAAACTACAGTTCCATGACACCACGCCTGACTATTTTTTTTGCTTCGAGTGAGGAGGTGTCATTATGTTGCCTAGACTAATCTAAAACTTCTGAACTCAAGCAATCCTCTTACCTCGGCCTCCCAAAGTGCTGAGATTATAGGTGTGAGCCCTTAATTATTTCTTTTAAAGAGAAGTGTTAATTTTGATAAAGTCTAATTTATCATTTTTTATGGCTTTTTATTTGAGTCAGAGTCACATTCTGTCACCTAGGCTGAAGTGTAATGGCATGATCCCAGTAGCTACTACAGCCTTCACCTGCTGGGCTCAGGCGATCCTTCCACCTCAGCCTACCAAGTACCTGGGAATACAGGCATGCACCACCATGCCTGGCTAATTTTATTTATTGTAGAGTCAAGGTTGATCCCAAACTCCTGGGCTCAGGCAACTCTCTCACGCCAGTCTCCCAAAGTGCTGGGATTATAGGAGTGAACCACTGTGCTCAGTCTGCCTTGAGATTTTTATCTCATCTAATAAATTTTTCCTACCCCAAGTTCATGAATATTTCCTCCTATTTTCTTCAGAATTTCAAAATTATTGTATTTTTTTTAATGGATATCCAGTAGTTTCAGCCATTTGAACTGAAATACTTTCCCCATGACATTATTTTGGCATCCTTATCAAAAATCAATGGACTATTTTAAAAAATCAGTTGACAGGCCAGGCGCAGTGGCTTGAGTCTGTAATCCTAGCAGTTTGGGAGGCTGAAGCAAGAGGACTGCCTGAGCCCAAAGGTTCAAGACCAGCCTGGGCAACTTGGTGACACCTCTTCTCTACAATAAATAAAAAATTTAGCCGGGCATGGCGGCACGTGCCTGTAGCTCCAGCTACTTAGAAGGTTGAGGCGGAAGGATCACCTGAGCCCGGCAGGTCAAGGCTGCGGTGGCCATGAGTGTGCCACTGCACTTCAACCTGGACAACAGAGTGAGATTCCAACTCAAAAATAAATTAATTAATTAAAATAAAATAAAAGGCAATTGACTATATATGTGTGAGTCTATTTCTAAACTTTGTATTTTGCTCCACTTATCTATATGTCTATCCTAATATCAACCTGTACTGGTTACTGTAGCTGTATAAACCAGGGAAGCAGGGAAGATAGGTCCTCCAACATTGTTTGCCTTTTTCAAATGGTTTTGACTATTGTGAGACATTTCCTTTTCCATATAGATTTTAGAATCAGTTTGTCAATTTCTACAAAAATTCCTTCTGGAGTTTGGTTGGGAGTATGTAAAGTCTATAGATCAATTTTGGGGAATGTGACAGTTTAGCAATGTTAAGTCTTCCAATTCATGAACATGGTATATGTCGGGAGCGGATGTGATATAGGAAACAGATGAGCACTGTCATTATAGCAGGCCTTGAGTAAAGACCCCAAGCGAAGTCAAGGTCTCGCTTAATGACCCCAAGCTTGTAGACAAGGTCTTGCTTGGAAACTCTGCATCCTAGCCAAAGGCAGGCTGTGAGAGATGCAGCCTGCTACATGAAATAGTGTCTCAGATGCTCAAACATCTGTGCACACAGTACAGATAAAGCCTTGGCTACAACAAGATAACTGCAGAACAGCTCACCTTTTAGGTAGCAACATAATTCTGTTATGATTCCCTCACAAGACCCTGAACCCCCTTCCAACTTCCTTTGTGCTTGCCCCACCTGGCCCCAGCTTTTCTTTATGTCTTTGTGTCTGTGTCTTTCTTAAGCTCTCATCACTCTCTCTCGGGACCCTCAAGGGAGCCGTGCAAGCCGCAGCAGATATATCTCTCCATTTATTTATGTCTTTGTTAATTTCTGTCACCAACATTTTATAGACTCTAAGTCAAAAATAAAATAGGTCTAAGCAAAAAGGTAGTAAAAGATATGTCATGCAAACAATAACCATAAAAGAGCTGAAGTAGTGATATAAGTTTCAGATAAAATCGATTTTAGGATAAAAAATTTTAGCCAAGCAGGGTGGCTCAAGCCTATAATCCCAGCATTTGAGAGGGTGAGGTGAGAGGATTGCCTGAGCCCATGGGTTCAAAACCAGCCTGGGCAACTTGGCGAGACCTCATCTCTACAATAAATCAAAAAATCAACCGGGCTGGTAGCGCGTGCCTGTCTTTCCAGCTACTTGGAAGGCTGAGGCGGAAGGATAGCTGGAGCCCAGCAGGTCGAGGCTGTGGTGGCCGGGAACGGCCACTGCATTCCAGTCTGGGTGACAGAATGAGACTCCAACTCAAAAAAAAAAAAAGAAAAAAGAAATTAAAAGTCTTTTTCTCAAAAGACTTGAACTTCTTTTTTTTTTCTTCTTAACACTTCCTCTCAAGTAGAAGAAAAGACCTGAACTTCTTAGTCAACATGTTTTTCTTGGGTCCAGTCACAGGCCAAACCCTATGCTGAAACTCAGGGGTGTGGAGACCAACCACAGATCACCTGGTTCTCTGAGGCTCCCAGAGCAGGAGAAACAATTAGTTCCTGATTGAGGAAAACTAAGATAATGCAGGGCATGAGGGATTCAGGGTGCTGGTGTGATTATCATCTTGACTGGACAACTGTGTGATGGGTGTCTCTATGCGTCAAGACTTACCGACTGTACATTTATGTGCAGTTTATTGTATAAAAGCTGCTAAAAATATATTGGGAAGAAAACACGGGGGAAAAAAGAGGGAGAGGAGAGGACCGCAGAAGGAGGAACGGGTGTTGTAGGGTAGTTGAAGACCCGTTGGCGATGACCAGGTTCTTAGTGCCCTGAACAAAGAATTGGCCAAGACACACACGGAGCTCAAGCAAAGGGTAGTGTATTTAGGAAAAGCGACAGGAACCTTCAGTCAAGAGTTTCACGTCTAACAACGTCGGCACCTTTTGCATTCCTGTCTGTGGGAAAGTGGGTTCTGGTAAGGAAATAACATGGAGTCAACACAGCCAACAAGCGGAGCAGTCATTTTAACTCTGTTTAGCTTTGTCCTATTTTTCTCACAGTGCACTTTACCCTCTCAACACTAGACAGGACAGAACCGGTTTCTGAGAGGTAGGGGTAGCTATTGATAACTGTTGTGGGGAGGTGGGACTGGCAGTTGAGGGAAACTGCTAGGGGAGGGAGGGGCACACCTCATTAACAAGGGGGCCTGCATAAGCAATGTTTGTATACTTAACCCTGAATTGAACCCCACATCTTTATAATTTAAAAAAAGGAAAAGATAATTGTTGACAGCCCCCTCTCCAGTTTGTTTTGTACTAATTCACTTTTCTATTTCAAGTATTTGCACCCATGAGACAGAGATGCCTAATCAGAGATGCCTCCTGCCCTTCATGACAAAGACAGACCCCATCACCAGGGCAGCAATCTTTGACCCACATGCCTGCCTTCCAACACCTGATGTCACTACTACCTGTATGTGTCTGCCCTCCGTGACCCCGTGCAGCAGACCACCACCCAATCACCTGATGACCTTCCCCCATCAAAGGGAATGTTTAATAAAAGGATTTGACTCCGAGCAACCAGTCGCCATTGCCTTGCAAAGCTATGGTCTGGCCATGTATTCTTTGAGCTATGGCCAGCCAGGTTTTCCAAAGCTTTGGTACCATCCCCTAACTTGGGGGGGGAGGTGTGTGAATGTCCTCTCTTTCCCCTTTACTTTCTAAAAAACTATGTTTCACAGTCTAACATCTGTGCAAGTCTTCGCATCTTTCACGTAGAACCTGACTGCACACAAACTCCCATTGAGCCTGACCTAACATTTGAAGACCCTACTGGGAAATATCTTTTTTTTTTTTTTTTTTTTTGAGTTGGAGTCTCACTCTGTCGCCCA